TAACTAACTAACTATCCGCGTGTCTACGTGATTTGTAGGGATAGGTGTGTCACTGGCTGCAGCAGGGTATGATAATGAGGCACAACTAACCGCTAACTGATTAACTAACTAACCAACTAACTATCCGCGTGTCTACGTGGTTTGTAGGGATAGGTCTGGCGCTGGCTGCAGCAGTGAAGGGCTATCGCTGCATCATCGTCATGCCAGAGAAGATGAGTTTGGAGAAGGTGGATGTTCTGCGTGCGCTCGGAGCTGAGATCGTGCGCACGCCGACCAAAGCAGCCTTCGATTCTCCCGAGTCTCACATCGGTGTAGCGCAGAGGCTGAATGCCGAGATCCCAGACTCCATTATCCTCGACCAGGTATTACCAATACTTGGAATCGTTCTGTTTTTAGCTCATCTGACGGAGTCAGATGCAGCTTGTAGAATCGCATGAGCGTCCGTCCGTCTGTGCGTCCGTGTGTCCGTGTGTCCGTCGACAGTTGGGCACAAATCTTAACCGCTTGACGTACGGTCACGATATTTGGGACGTCGGGGGGTGGGGGGTCGTAAAAAGGACCTGGGAAGACCAATTTGAGGGTCAAGGGTCAAAGGTCAAGATGTGTCAACGGAGGGTGAATATTTCCCCCTTAACTTAAGGTATAGGAGGAAATACGGAATTGCGACCTATGCTCTTAATATTCGGTGTATAGTGTGATAGGCAGGAAACCCATCACCAGAGCGAAATTGGAGGTCACAGGTCAAAGGGCAGTGGGGGAAAGGTAAGATATCACACATTTTCTGAGGACATGGTCTAACGGACCCTGTGAAAAACTTTTTTGTTTCAGTGCTGACCTACCATTTTTATCACTTTATTGAAAGGACCATGAAATGTACTTTCCACTGACGTGCGAAGAGTAAGTGTCTGATAACCTTTTGACCCTCAAAGGGAGGGTTAAACATGGATTTGTTGACTGTCAACAAAGGTGTAAGGCTGTATCACATACGTGAAGCCACCGCTGTACTCCAGTTTCTCACCTTTGACCTTGTGAGCTGCGGCAGCTCTGACCTCTGCCTCACAGTCCTTGAGCAGCCCTTGGAATGCCTGCACCAAGTCGGTCTTAGTTGTCTCGGGCCCTACTGCAGTTTGTAGCTGCAGAACAAAAACGCGAGTCCATGTGATTTTGTAGAGTAATAAATAAGAGTTAATAAAGTGATTTGAAGAAGAGTTAATAAGAGTTCATCTGTGCAGCATATCATGCACTCACTGCATCAACAACAACCGCACACCGACAACATTGACCTGACAGCTACTCAAGACTTATTATCCACAAACAAACAACAGCACCGACGCACACACACACACACACACACACACACACACGCACACACACACACGAGTTAATGCAGAGCGGTGCGGCGACGACGACGTACCTCCGTGAACTTGTCGGCGACCATGTATCGCACTCTCCAGGACTTGTCCTCGGCGGCCTGGCGCACGGTGGGCATGATCAGCTGCTCGGTGTCGTCGTGAGCGAGCAGACTCGCGATCGAGACGGACGCCTCTACCGCCAGCAACCTCACCGAGTCCTGCGGCAACGCGAAATCCACGGTTAACACATGCACGCTCTGAACAATGCAGCCAACATGCAAGACCCTACAACGCGAGTTATCACATACGAAACCACCGTTGACACGCGCACTCTTAACCATGATGCTACCAGTGGGGAAGACCGTATTGTCATATAACGCGTATATCATTATATCACGCGCGTTATCACATAGGAGCGACGTGCTGGCGTAATAGCGCAAGGACAGACAAGAGAGACTATCAGAGTGTGACAACACAGGGTCGGATAGAAGCGATACGGCCGGCGTGACACAATAATGTGACACAATAACGCAAGGTCCAGCGCACACGGACAGATTGCCAACGTGGGAAGACGAGAGCAGCAGCTATGTGAGCACCTGTTCATCCTGGGCTAGGTTCAGGAACATTGGGATGAGGTCAGCCTTTAAGTGTTCAACTTCCACCACTTTTGCAAACTCGCCGATCTTAGAAGCCGCTGCTCGACGCACCATCGGTGTGTCATCGCCACATAAGTTGCGGAATTGACTGCAAAGAAGAAAATGCGTAGGTCTCAGCCTGATTGCAGCAAGCACATGCAGATATCACAGGTTACAGCACAACTTGGGTATCAACTGTTATTTTTAGACGTACAGATGATTTTTAAACTTAAAATTTGCCAATTTTACTTCTTTACCATAACAGAACACTAAGTACTAAGTTTGTAACACAGACCGATGACAGGCGGTATAAAGCAGGAGGGAATGTGGTACGTACGTTCTGAGTTCGATCTTCAGGGCAGTAGATACGCGCTGGTAGCACACGCTGAACAGGCCACAGGCAGATGTGCGTGACGTGAACCAATCACCTACAACCAGATAGAAGACCTTTATTACACATCGTGGTTTACGTCGCAGGGAAACATACACTACTAAACTGAAGAAAATAGGAACCCACTTAGATGTTGTCTTACAACTACAGTAAAATTTCACAGACAACAGTTGGAACATTATTACGTTTGCACAATTAGTAGTAGTTTCAAACCAATCTAACCATAATACTAGGGTCATTGCATTCTACCCTTACTCACAGTTCCAACATTGCCTTACCTCCAGATAGTCGCTTGACTAGCGGCACAAAGTGGGCCTCTAGATCTGTGACAGAATGCTGAGCTGCTATGGTTCGCAGCGATTCCACTGCCTTGTCCCTGACCACTGTCTCCTCAACTGTTGCCAAGCTCTCCAGTGGAGGCTAAACCAAACATATTCACCAGTTGCTTTTATTGTTGTAATGCACGCTATTAAGTGCTAGGAATGGGGAAGCAAGTGATGTGAGTTAAAGTGCGACCTCCCATTTAAATTATTATTGCAATCGTTAGGCCATAAATATGAGTACATACTACTACAAACACATTTATATATTATACAGAGGTATATGTGTGGAGAACTAAAGTACCGAGTAGCTCCGGTGTAGAACCTACCAGCAAGCAATGCACAAACTCAGGCCCGCCAACAAACGGAGTGAAGCTGCCCAGCTGTTCGGCAAGTGCCAAAAGTACCTCATCCTCATCATATATGGTATCTGAAAATATTTCTCATGTTAGTATTTTAATTAACTACACCTGTGAGACATGAGTCTACTATCGTGTAACATCATAAAGAATAGTGATCGTAGTCAATGGGAAAGTAGCGAATAAGGATGCTATGATACTGGCAGATGGATCTCAATCTAGCTTTAATCTAGGATGATGATAATTACCAGTAAGAAATGGGATCAGTTCACTCCTGGTTCTTTCTACTCCGAGTGCGAGGGCAATGGTTGACAGCTTCTTAATGCTGTTCAACCGAAGCTGTAAGAAGTATGACAGTTAATCAGTTATATTATCATACCAACAAAGCACAAGAATCAGATTGCTGCTTTTTTCAGCATTCCACACACCACACTAAGAATGACAAGCATTACTATATTGTGTTTATTGTTATTATTAAGAGCATGTAAACTTGTTTTATGTTGGGTTTATGTTGTTGCTGTTATTATGTTTTTGTTTTTGTTATGTTGTTGTTGCTGTTTTTTATGCTGTTGTTGCTGTTTTTATGCTGTTGGTGCTGCGCTATATTGGGGTTGTGCTCTTGTTATTCTCCCTAAGCATTACTAGTATAGTAGTAATGCACAGAACCTATTTTAGCCACACACACTGTCAAAGCTTATTTATCTTTAAGCCAGAGATGAACCTTACTTCTAGCTATATTTTAACATGGTTTTGTGTACATCTGCACATTAAGGCAGTGCTTTATGACATCTCATGTTCACAGCCAGCGAGTCTCGTGGGCCATGGTATGCATCCAAGATGCTAAGCTGCGTACAACTGACAACTAATACCATGTGTTGCACAGATCTTCACAACACAGTTTCAGGACAATTAAAACAAGAGCTGATCCAGGAATGGGCCAACAGCCCGTCAAAACCATTCAGGAAAGAAAGGGGGTATGGTAGCACTGTACTAGTGTAGACTGTAAGCTCCCCCACTGGCACTGGGATCCAGCCATGCATTTCAATGGCATAGACAACAATTTCTTATCTTTATTGATTGCTAAATGAAACATTTAGGAAAAAAGTAAAATGGAGGATCGAAATGCTCACTGTCATGAGTCATGACTGCCTACGAGTACGAGCACGACTGAGTGAGAACAGTGATGTTACAGTGCTTTGCATTTCAAAGAAGAAGGCCTACCTAAGAAACCAAGTTTCTTTCAAGCGATACTCATTACAATTAAGTCTGAATAATTTGGCGTCTACACATGGAATCGTAAAACTACGCACATCTTATAATACAAGACCAAGTTGTAACTTGTAAGCCACCGATCATTAAAAACAAATACTGAAATAGATAGAAATAGGGCCCTAGGGGCCTACTGTACATAACTTTTTAGCGTTGGCTTTTCATCTTTGAGTTATTGAACCTAACGCCGCGCTTGATTTTATTAGAAATTAAAACGTATTAGTGATAGTATAAAAGCTGAAGATCAGTGATATATTTACCTGAACATCTTCATTTCTTAACTCATCGATTAAAACAGCAATTGGATAAAGAGAGTCATCCGCCGCAGTATCACTGGCTGCCATTTTGTAAGTTGGGAGAACAGTTTCCGTTTTTCGCTGAAAGAGGTCGCTGGTGATGATCACCGCCTCGGCTAGACTGGTACCCGGTCGACAGTTCCATACGCTACACCACTGATCTCTACTATACTAACTAGTAACTAGTAACATACATACTACATACATACTATACATATATTACTATACACTATACTACACTATACTATACTATACATATATATACATATCTATATTAGTATAGTAGAGATCAGTGCGCTACACTAACAGCTAGTGTAGCGAAGGATATATTCCGGAGTGAATGTGGCGAACGGGTACCAGTCTACGCCTCGGCTAGTTCCGAACGTTGAACGTGAAATATACCTACGGTAAGCAGCGCTGTTCCTGATAGGTGTACGAGGTCACGAGCAAATCGTCACGAGTGTGGAGTAGATGGGCACCTTTCTCTTCACCACTTTAAAAAAACTGAACATTAAGTTAATAAGTGGCGGGGGCGCCTATCTATGTATCGGAAAATATTCTGGAAGAATCTATTTTGCTGCGGAGGAGCAGGTTTTATATTAATACCGACATTTTAACATATCCATGATATCATTGTAATTATCGAAAAGTTATCATGGCGTGGAAGCTTATTTTGAAGTCACAAGATGGTTACCTATATTTGGAAGCTAAATTTGCCAGGGCAGCATTGACTTGAATATACGGCAAAGTATTTACACCTACCCATGTACACCACATGAATTTACTTAGTTAGGTCCAGCGTAATTGGGAACTCATCTGCGTGAGCGTGACAAGTTGATAACAGTGACACGTTATCGTTATTTCATTCTGCGAAAGAGGTGGTAGTCGCGATCTGCTAGAAAACGGATGCAGGTGCGTAAGTATGGCAGGAAGGGTCGTTGTCGTATCAGGTACTACATATATGTACCCGAGG